TTTGATATTGGAAATAAATACATAAAGACACCACTGAATCCAATATCATAGAGTATTTTGCTTAGTTCTTCCTCTATGTATTTTATGATTTTGGTCTTACATCCAAGTCTTTTATTCATTTTGATTTAATTTTTGTGTTAAGAAAAGGTCTGATTTTATACTTTTACATGTATCAGTCTAGCTTTACCAAGACCATCTGTTGAAGGAACTTTGCTTTCTCCAATGCTAACCCTTGGCTACTTTGTCATAGTTTAATTTGCAAATAAGTGTGCAAATAAACATTTCTGATCTCTTGCTTCTGTTCCATTAGTTTGTATCTGTTATTATTTTATATTGTTTTGGTTATTATACTGTAGTCTAATTTGAAATCTTGAAGTGTGATACCACCATTTTCCCTTTTTTTTTTTTCAGAATTACTTTGGCTATTTGAGATCGCTTATAACTCCAAATGAATGCTAGTAATGTTTATATCTTTGAAGAATGCCATTGAAAAATTTGGTAGGGATTGCATTGAATCTCGATTTTGTTTTGGGTATTTTAACAAAGTTATTTCTTTTGTCCCATGAGCTTTATTGAACACAGATTTTAAATGGATATTTTTTTCTACTGTGATGTAATTGTCATTTTGTTAAAATATAGTTCGTATCTTCAAATCCAAGATCCTAGTGCTAAGGAATTATAACTCAATAAATATACCCTGATGGACTAAAATTTCTCATGAACCTAATATATAAGCGCATCATTCCTTTCAGAAATCAGAAAACTCATCCTTTAAGTTAAAAGTGAATGCATTTTAAATTTAATACTCTATTAATGTGATTGAATAATTGATAAGAAAATCTTTAGCACTGTGAATTTTTAAAAGCCTCATTTTTGTTTCTCTGGGAAAAAGTTTGTAGGAGAATGACTAATGTCCTTTCTTTCATTATATTGTACATATGGGGAGGAGAGTTGGTTTCATTAGGATTCTCACAGGGGATGAATTAAAAAGTGACTAGAATGTTACATTCTGATTTTTAAAATATTTATAGGTAGATAAAAAGAAGTAACACCGAACATCTCTGTTTGAAAATATCTATGCAATTTAACTCAAGTGCGTTAATTGTTGTATACTGTATACTATGAAATATACAAAAGACTTTAGAAATTAAAATGAAGAAGACAAACCCTCCTGTCCCAGAGCTCATATCATACAAGAATAAGCAAGGATATGAACAAGAAGTGAAAGTGCATATAAGAAGTTCTATCATGCACTTCCATAAAGTGTTCCAAAAATAAACTATATTAAATATATCCACACAGAAGAGTTCACTTTGACCAGGCCTTGAAGAACAAATAAATTAGAACTGACTGGCTGGACATTATGGTGCAGGACCTTCCAGGACAGTCTGAGGAAGGCTGGGAAGTCAAATAAGACTTTCTAGTCTGTACTAGCTATACAGTGGTATTCTTAACAAGGAGCAAAGAATAGCCATCATTGATTTAGCATCTTCTATTTGTTAGATTTGTGTTATAAATGCAAATATATAATGAGGTGCAGTCATTGAGATTGCCACCAGATTTTTAAAGAATTTTGGTGGCTTGTATTTGGTTGGAGAAAAAGATATACAACTGCCAACTAATATTTCAAGTTTGCCTTTTACTGGAAATTGTTTGGAAAAAGCAGGACAAGTTGTTTTTCCATATGCATATAGAATCGGGGAGATGGAAGTACAGAATTTTGAGAGTGAGGGATAATAAAGATGTCAACTATTCTACACAATATGAAAATGTTATCTTCACTGAGCGCTGAAATCTACTTCTATAGATTCTTACCTTGATTGAGAATCTGCCTTTTGAGGGGAAAAGAAAAATATGACCTACATTTTGGCTATGTTTTTGCCTGGGGGGAAAAAAATTGGAAGATTTTGGATGCTAGTAGCAGGGAAATGGTTAAGACCTCTCTTTTGGGTGATAGTAGGTACTGACAATAGCAGGCTACACACAGCAAGAAACAGAAGACTTCATACAAGAAACAGCCAAAACTCTAGGAAATTTTATCCCTTTCAAATAATTTAAAAGTGCTTCCTACCTAATAAATCCCTTTTACTGCACCAAGCATTCAGTAAAAGCTTGTTAAACATTAGTTCTACTTGTACTAGTTTGCCAAGGACTGCTTAACAATTTGCCATAAGGAAGGTGGCTTAAATAACAGAAATGTATTTTCTCACAGCTATAGAAGTTAGAAGTCCAAAACGACGGTGTGAGAAACATTGGTTCCTTCTGAGAGTTATGTGGGAAAGATCTTTCCTTGGCCATCTTCACCCTATGTATATTAACACAGTCTTCCTTCTATGCTACTGTGTATCAAGTTTCTTCTTTCAAGTTTCATACTGGAATTTAACTTGATAACCCCTGTAAAGACATTATCTCCAAGTAAGATCACATTCTAAGATATGAAGGATCTAGACTTCAGCATATTAATTTGTTAGGGGGCCGGGGGACCTGTTGGCACATTTCAACCTATAACAGTTGAATTTGTATGAATTAAAAGAGAAGTCTGTGTCCTCATTATGGGGGGAAAAAAATGGTATGAGAAGGATGATCATAGTTTGGAAAATCTTAAAATGTGATCAAACAATTTGGAAAATCTATCCAGACTGCAAAGCCTGGATGGATTGGTGGACTATGAAACATCCCTGTGCGGTTTCTAAAATTTTGAATAAAATTGAATAAAAGATACTGTCAATAGCCTGTATCTCCTGTTATCAACTAAGTTTTGGACTCATGCATTATTTTCTAGGCAACTGTTATGTGGGTGGATGAATCTGGGACCACCCTGGGTACAGGTAACATCATCTACATTTATACTAAAAAAACCACAACTCAAGATTGCCAAGTGACTCTACTAAGACTTTCATTGTTAGTACATGGGAAGATATTCTTCAAACTTAAGGGGGTTTAGCCCCAAGACATTAATCTTACCAAAGCAGAGAGAAAGTAGACAGGGAAATGAGAGAATGAGAGTGTGAGAGAGATTTGAAAATATTTTAATTCTAAAATATATCAATTATATTATTAATGGGTAAGCTATCAGTCACATGCCCCATTATATTATCACTAATTTAACAATATTTTACACATAGTTGGACTAAGAAAAAATCGGAAAGACTGAGTATTATTCAGCTAGATATATAGAGATTGTAAGAAATCAGTAGAGAAATTGTAGAAAAAATCCAGTTTACAAAAATTGTGATTAATTAGTGAGAATAAAATAGTAGAAGAAGAAAACTCTGACAAAACACTGAAAATCATTATTTGAGAAAAGAAAGTAACATTGTAAGTCAGAGAGCAAGAAAATTTTACAGAGGGAAAGAAAAATACACAAGAGTTAAAGAAAGAGTTTTAAGAAAAGTAGTTAATTAATAATAGTTGGGTCAGATTTACTTTGAGAACAATACTATATGCAACTTTCTGTGGAACATCAAGGAAGATAGAAGATAAGAATGACAAATATTTTTACAACATTTTAAAGTGAAGCATAGAGTAAACAATTTAGCTTGGTGTGATATTGTCTTTAGAGCACAAGAGGAGGTTGGGACATAAGTTGAGAGTAAGAGAAATCAATATAAAATCATATATGAAGACTAAAACTAAAGCTTTGGTCTGGTGTGGGAAATAAAGTTCTCTAAATATCCTGAATATTGCAAGAGATCTCAAACTCCAACCTCTGTGAGGCTAGAGTGACTTCTTTCTGGGGTTTTATTCCAACAAAATACAAAGCTGAGAAGAAATGTTTGTGTGTGTGTGTGTGTGTGTGTGTGTGTGTGTGTGTGTGTTTCGGGTAAGGAATGAGGATAACCAGGGAAAGAATTAAAGAGGAACAAAGACAAAGTGAGAGAAACTTGGTGAAATACTTGGTGAGAGTGTGATGAAAATGATTGGATCTAGCTGAATGGGAAAAGGATGTAGGAAATAAGATGTTCACAAGATAAAGGGAACAGGAAGAGGGGCCCGCAGGCATGTAGATTTTGAAAAGAAGAGAAACTACAAATGAAACTATTGAATCTAATCTATTGGACATCAGTCTCTGTAAAAGTTCAGGAGGGGTGAATTGATTTATGTTGGATCATTTTACTCTAAGGTTTCTCCTGTCTCCTACACACATGATATAAAGGGAAAAGTGTTCATAATTAATGCTTCCTGAACTATGCTTTTATGATTTCTATTTTGTATTAATTACCTAAAATTGAACCCGTTTTGGATTTTACTTATAATTCAGTTCATTAGAGCACCACTTGTCAGAGCTGACTTAACATACCTTTCAATCATACATGTATACATACATATGCAAATATAGCATAAGAGTTTGAGTTTGAGTTTATTTTCCTAAACATAATAGAGGATAAGTATTTTAAATTCCAACAAAGATAAAAGGTAGAGAAAGATAAGTTCATCTAATAAAAAGATTCTTCATTTAACTCAGAATTCTAGACTTGAGATTTACAATTATCTCTTTCAGAGAACACTAAGCACTTGAATTCTGTTCTCGTAACAGCAAAGTAATGTTGACACAGTTCTCACCTGGCTTTGTATACATAAAGTGGAGTGACTTTCCCATGCTTTTTTTTTTTTTTTCCATTTTTGTCAATATCCCTCCCAAGCATTTGTTCTCTTTCAGTCAGCTATTCAAGTTCCTCCATACCTTAAAACATAAAATCATAGGTCCTCTTTGATGATGCAATGGGTTAAAGTACAGAACTGCAAAGCTATACACAGCCACTGCAGCACAAGCTTGATCCTTGATCAGGGAGCTGATCACCTGGAGCGGCAGACCTCTCCTGACCCTCCCACTGATCCCCTCAGCAGTGAAATTTCAATCTGCCTGTTCTGCTTCTGTCTCTGGTGAATCCTCTCACCCCCTGTACATCTGGCCTGTGCTTCAGCTCTTGTCTGCATAAATAAATAAACCTTAAAAAAAATAAACATAAATACCAGAATAATAAAATGACATTACAAACCTAGGAAGACTTATTTCTACTTCCTCTTCTTTCATCTCAGAGAGCCATTTCTGGATTTGATCTGCATTTACTAGTTTTTCCATTTCTTCTATGTTCACACCTTCTGAAGGAAGTACAATGATTAAACTGAACGTGTCGCCTTTATAAGGTAGTTCCAAAACCTGGTATTGCATAGAAGATTCAGAAAAATAACCTGGAACAGAGCATATAACATATTAAATATATTTTTTCTATTTTTAAACTTCAGTGCTTTGAACAGTGACTTTTCTTAATACCATAGTTTGTTTGCAGAAAAGCCTTCATCATTGGAATGTTGACAGTTTCACCATTTTTCTTAGTGAAATTCATCAGTTGTGTGTCTTCTTTTCTGAATTTCTGTTTCCATTCTCCCTTAAAATAGATAGCATTTACCAGAACAAGTCGAGTCAGAGGGCCAAATTCTTCTCTTGAAAACATGCCTTTAATTTTTCCTATGAAGAGTGAGGATGAGACAAGAAGAATCACAATAGTGATTCAATGGATTTTTTTTTATGTAGAATTAAAACCAAATCAGTAGATTAGTTGTGTCTAGAATGCATTATCATTTAAACTTGGTAATTCTGAAATTACAAGGATATGCTATTAGATATTCCTCTAAGACATTAGGATAAAGGGAATTTCATGAGAAGACACAAAATATGAGAAGTCAGACAAATTTGAACAGACCTAGTAAGGAACTCTCTTCAATAAGAATATGTAAATTATTTTCTAACAGAAAGAACAACAACAACAAAAAAACAGCTCTCCCTAACTTTGGTATTTTTCAAACTTCATTTTAACATTCTACAGCAGTTCAAAAATAATTAATGTGTTAATGGCACATGCAAAATTGCTAATCTTTTATCTGCAGCCACTGTCTTCACAGGGTACAAGAATGGATTTGCTAGTCTGAATTTCCCCTTCCAAATAACTAATCTCCTCTTTGTAGTTCCACTTAGTATTTTGAATTTATGAAACTATAAGTATGATTTGGATCCTTAGAGGTGTTTAAGGTTACCTTCATTTTTTTTTTTTAAGATTTATTTATTTATACAGAACCGGGGTACAGGCCAGAGATGTGGAGGGTGAGAGGATTCACCGGAGACAGAGTGGGGAGCAGAACAGGCAGATGGACGAAGTACACTGCTGAGGGGGAGCAGCGGGCGGGTCAGGAGAGGTCTGCCGCGCCATGTGGTCACCTCCGGGGCAGGCGGGGGTCGAACTCATGCAGAAGTGGTTTCAGCTTCTCAGTGCAGTGCTTTAACCCCCTGCGCCACCAGGGAGGGCCGGTTACCTTCATTTTTTATACAATTAATAGTACTTTATTGGCCCCGCCTGTTGGCACAAAGGGTGAAGGCACAGCAGTAACAAGCTAGCCGCAAAGTTCAATCCCCGCTACAGAGGTGACCCACATGGTGCAGCAAACTGTCTCACCAACTGCTCCTCTCAGCAGTGTACTTCTGCCTATTCTGCTCTGTTGGGGACCGAGGCCAGCATCTGGCGTCTGTCAGCAGTCATAAAAAGGTGAAATGGAGTCCGGATAGAGAAAAATATCCGGGTTGTAAAAGGCATGCAGGAAGAACTCCCTGCCCCCACCTTTTCTTTCTCCTCTTTCTTTTCTCACCCACCTATTATCAAAACACTGCTCCATTCTCGCCCATTTTTGTCCGTCGCGAGAACCATGTTATCAAACACTGCTACATGTCTAGTGTCTATTGGCCTTCTCCCTTCCTGGCATCCCTCTCCTCCTGTATAAAGCTGAGATAAAACCCAATAAAGCGCTCTTTCTTTGTTCTGCTACACGCGTGTGACTGCTCCCTTTGTTTGCTGGACCTGGGGCCCCGAATCTCCGACCTTGCTGGTCAAGGTCCCCCGCACTGCTCCGCACTCTGTCTCTGGTGAATCATCTCACCATCCCTGCACCTCTGGCCTATACCCCAGTTCTGTATGCACAAATAAATACATCCTTTTTTAAAATAGTACTTATTGTGAAAACTGCTCACAACACCCACCTAACATTTTCAACTTATGTTTCTCTGTACAAGGTTTTCTATAAAGAATAAAAGTATCATATAATGTAGAATATAAAGTAGCATTTTAAACTGTCACATTTTTGAAGTAGAATGAATGGACTGTTAATTGAGGACCTAAAATATACTTATTACTTCATATTTCTATTAAGCCTGCCAATAATACTGAAATGTTTTAATAATATCCTCACTTTAAGTGGGCATAGCTAGAACCTGTTAAGATTTAAACTCAGATCTGAACAGAATTAAGCTTGTATTTTCTCTGGACTATCACTTCTTAGTCCCTCTGACATTTCTGCTAGCCTATATTTAAGTTAAAGCTCAGATTATCATGCTTATGACAAGACTAGCAAAACTTATTATTAATTATTAATACACTCAAGTCAGATGTGTTAACTACGTACAGCACATGTGGGAATAAAAGCATCTGGGTTTACAAAATGATTCTTATCTAGCCAAAGCTATTACTACCGCCATACTTTAAAAACCTGTTTGAACAAAAAAAAAAAAAAAAATCATTAAAATCTTCCATTAAAGAACTTTATAAATTATTATCTCTGAAAAATAAAATAAAATCTGCATCATTTTCAAAGAAGCTTACAGTTTCTCTCTGCTTTACAATTTAGCATTCATTTGAATAATTGAGGAAAAAAACTCTAGCTATGATCCCTCTGAGCCATAGTTTAGTAGAACATATCCAGCTACTTTTTGTTTTCAGATATTAAAAACCATGAATACAATGGCGAATAATGATTTTATGAAAATGGGAAACTTTACCATCTGTTTTGCTTTCTACCCAGGTACTTATTGTCTCTGCACAATTCTTTGCATCCTGAAAATCCACCAGTTTTATGGCACTCTGAAAAAATTCCTCGTTGCCATGGAGATACTGCTCTTTCACAGTGAATCCTTCTTGAAGGTAGAGGGCATTGGCAAGATTAAATGTAAATTCTTGTTTTTTCCCAGAAATGGCAGAGAAAAATGACTTCAGCACAGAAAATTCTTCGCCTAAAAAATAATTATAATGTATACTGACATATTGAACAACATAAAACAACAGCTTTTCAGTGTTGCTGCTAAGTGTTCTGATTCATATCACCATCTTTTGCCCCTTTACATCTAGCTAAAGATGCTTTCTAATTTAGTCTAAATATTTTAAGCATTTATCTCCTGTAAAATATACACTTTCTAGAGAAATAAGCTTTTACATAAGAAAAAAGAATGTATCTGTAATTTTTTTAAAATATATGCACTTAAAGAGCCTGTAGGAAACCTCTTTATAGTCAAATTTAGTTAATTTTCAGTTGTTGACAAATTATTCATATAATCCCTTCCTTACATAATGTGATGTTTATGAAAGGAGAATGCAAATGAATGCTGATGCATGTATGACAAATGATGAACAATCCTTTCAATGTTAATTTTATTTTGGCTTAATAAAGAATTGCTCTCTTATGAGTAACTGCACCTGTCTAAGTTTTGGAATTTACTAGGCAACCCCTACAGTCATTTATGGCAATGAGGAAGAATGAGAATTGCTTATTTCTTCAGGTTTATGTATGTAAATTCTTTGACAGTATACATGAACAATAAAAAAATATTAACTATTTCTGCTCTAACCACTAGCTAAGTAAATCTATCAAAATCAATTAAAAATTACCATAGGTCTATTATTTATTTAGTTGGATAGTTAGATCATTCTGACCACAGAGTTGTCAAGAAATTATGTATTAACTAAAAACTCAGCACTGATCTTTGTACAGTGGATTCATTCATTACTGAAGGCTATTGGTATTTATCATACTCATCAGTTTTAATCCTGGAAATCAATCATGCGTTAAAAGTTTCTTACAATAGTTTCATTATATCTAAGTGCAGTTAAATACTGAAAGCACTGCTTTTTTAAATTGAAAGTTGATTTAAAAAAAAAAAACATAAGTGGTTCATCATTGGAAGAGGCCCATTGAACAAAGAGAATAAAGTATTACTAGGTGTTGATGGACTTAAGTTGTGTGTGTGGGCACATGTGCAAATACCTTGGCAGAGACCTTTTAGCACACAGGGCATCTTTGAGGAAGTAAGGCCAGTCATCCTCACATGGAGGCTGCAGTGTGATGGCCTCACATCTTGTGCAGCTGAGACTACATGTTAGACGCCACCTGTCCCTTTATCCTGGCACTCCTGTCCAGGTACAACACACCCTCAAAGAGAATATGAACATTGTATTGCATTTCAAACCTTATGAGTCTCCATTCACAAAGATATAGACAACCAACATAAAAGATTTTAGATCCATATTACTGAATCTGAAGAATTTCAATAATTTGCTACCTTCCTGGAATTCTTTACATAAGGAAAGGAAGAAAGTTGATTTATTTCAAATGCAATCATTTATTGTTATTTATAGTTGAAAGGTATTAATTCCATAGAATCCAAACTCTTCTTTTTAGAGTGAGGAATCTAAAATCCAGATAATTATAGTAAATTTGGAAGTGCCAATTATTATTGGGAGGTTACATAGAAGACCTTTCAAGTGAAGGCATGGGAATTTATCCAAAAGAATTAATTAAAGTTAGAAATTAAGTAGCAGAATTTGAAACCAATTACAGCAGTTTATCACTTATGAACATATGTAAAGGAATTAGAAAGGAGAGGGAGAGAAAAAATAGCTCCAACTCATTTGTCAGAACAAATAGATTTGTGTCATATACTAAAAGTCTAAGATTGTGTAACAACTAGCTGGCCTTTGATAAATTATTAGACTAAATTGTCAATAAAAAATACAAGTATCATTCATTTGGAGGAGGAGATAAATGTATCTGTCTTATAAATAAGATTTAAGATAAATGATCCTTTCTAGTACAGATCAAAAAGAACACATATATATTATTTTTATTTAGCAGTGAGATTGTGTTTATTGATTTCCAATAATTGAGCCATGAGAAGGAATGTGATATTTAACTTGATTATACTAAACCATCAGAAGTGCTCTAAAATTCAGTAAAGTTTACTTCTAATACCAACAGTTCAAGGGTCAACTGTGTGGTCAGTATGAAAGACCCTAAGATAAAAAAGAAAAGCAGTCACAGGATTATAGGTTATTTTACCCAAAATTCTATATAATCCAAACTCTTCTTTTTTATAGTGAGCAATCTAAAATACAGATAACTATGGCAAACTTTAGAAGTGCCTAAGTGACAAGGTTATCCATGCAGAGCTGAGATAGGAATGCATATCTGGTTCTCTTTCCATAACTCTATTGGAATAAAGAACTACAATCAATTTAGTCTTTTATTAGTAAACAACAGAACCGGCAAACAAAATGGAATATCACCAGCTGCTCAATGAACTGGAGAAGATAAAATTTGAGCAGATATTTGACAATAGAATTAAGAACTCCAACTGACAGCCCTTCTGGTAGCAAGATGTCAGTACAAAAGGCCATGTGTTAATGGGAAACAGGTAAAATAAAATACAGACTGATGCATTGGATAATACATTTTTATAATCAGTCAAATATTGAAAGCAGGTTCAAGGCTAAGATGAATCAATATGATAATCACATAGGGCATAAAATGTAAGGACATGCCACAAACCCAGCTTCAATATAATATTCAAGGTCATGTATTTTTTAATCAGTAGTAATGGGAGCATTCCTGGTGGTGTAAGGGGTTAAAGAGTTCTACTCCCCAGGGAGCTAATGCTCCTGTCTCACCACAGCTCCCCACAGCAGGATATTTGTAGATCCACCTGTTCTGCTCCTCACTCTGTCTCTGGTCTATACCCCAGTTCTTGTATGCATAAATAAAAAATCTTAAATAAATAATTTAATGAAAAAAATCTATGATAAATAAAATACTAAAATTTTGAATATGAACAGGATCATCGCCATTGATTTTTCTCTGGCTCTTCCACTCACCACCTCCTCACCTTTCTCAGGCCTTAGTCTACGCTTCAAACAGTTTACTTCCTTTACAAACATCTTTTTTTTTTTTCCATTTTCTTGTGTCTTTTCGTTTTGTGCCCTGTCTTCAATGTATTATTTTTCTTAACTTCCCTATTTTCTCCTTTTTGGTTAGTCTTCCTTTATTATTTTGCAATTATCTTTCCTCTGTGCTGCTCTCCCTTTCTCTTAACAAAACACATAGAAAATAAGTTTTCTAGTTTTGTCATCCTTTAAAATATAAATGTTTAACCTTCCATACATATTCTTCAAAGAAACATTTGCACAATTACTTGTACCTGTAATCCTCACTGAATTAGTTCTGGGCAAGTTACTTAAAATTTCTTTGACTCGTTGTCTTTATCTGTATAATGGGCTAGTTGCCTCAAGGAATATTCACTATTATTATATTTAATAATAGTGAAAATTAAATATTAAATGAGATAATATAGCCAAGCACATAAAACACTGAATGATATACTATACACACACACATGCACGTATATAATGTGTATATATGATAATATGGATAATATCATTGTTATGATTATTATTATGCTTATAGTCCAGGGTTGTTAATATTTCTCTGTTTCTCTATAAGATGAATCCAGTTAAAGTAATTTAGATTTTGGAAGCTCTAATTTTACTGCTTTGTCATAGAATCAACTTTTCAAGTCTTTATAAATGTTTTATCATTTTTCAAAGCAGTACCAAGTGAATTAAATGCTTCTGGGACTGTGTAGTGGGATTTGCTAAATTTAATAATATCAAGACTAAACCTTGATTTAGTGACCTCACTTTAGTTATTTGCAAGGGAAAATTTGAAGTTAACATTCTACCACCAACTTCTTTTCTATATAAAATTGCCTTTATTTTAAATTAAGCAAATAAACCCTGTAAACAGATTTTTCTTTCATAAAAATAAAGTCTTTCCTCTGAAGTAAAGCAAACTTACTGAAAGCAGTTATGGTGATTAAGTTCTTACATCAAACATCTGATAATTTCTCTGATGTTTAAGACACATTATCTAACAGTGATGATAAATTTTAAGTTTAAAATCATTATGGAACTTGAGAACACAGAATGGCCAGGGAAAATGACAATTGCCTCCTTCATGTGGCATGAAACCTACACCATATCTCAGATACTACCTATACACTACATATTTGCATATATGCAAACACAAAAATATATGTATTTGCATATATGCAAATTAGTGTGGATGCCAATATACTATATATTTATATAAATGCAGGTATATATTTGATAATGAGGACAATATTATTACTATAACTATTATTCTTATGTTCACAATCCAGGGTTGTTAACATTTCGCTGTTTCTCTCTGTTTCATAGTTCTGGAGATTACAAAACAAAAAAAGACTCGTGAAGATTTCTGTTGATTTATGTACATTCTTTCTCTTTTCAATTTTTTAAAAAAAATTTAGCTAAAAGACATTTAAAATGCATAAATGAATGATTTCTCGATCTAATTTCAGTGAAAAAGTTAGATTTTAGTTAAAAATAATTCTGAAAAATTTGAAAACTTAATGAGTGGCACACAGAATTCTAGGTGTGAGAATCCTGGAAATTTCACAGGATTCTCGTCGGTGCTGTCTTATCTGCTATTGTGTTTTTACTCCACAAGAAGATCTTATGCATTTTGACCACTGTACATCATTCAATTAAAAATGTATACATTTTCATAATAAACAGAATTTAGCATGTTAATTTCAACAGAAAACTTAGCCTGACTGATGAAGGGCTAAGTCAGTAACAGAACTTTCATAACAGACAATAAATCAACAATTAAAAATTATGTTCTGAAGCAATTTCATGATATTAGAAAATGTTCCAAATAATATAAATGTGTGTAAAAGAATTTATACACACACAGACATATATCATATATGTATAAACACAAACAACATGAGCTTTATTAATTATAACCTACTAAAACAAAAGACCAGAGGAAAATGTGAAGTCATACTCACAATAATATATCTATATAGAAATCATTTTTTAAAAAAAAATTTTGGTTAACATTTTCACTAAGAAACATTATGGATACATAAAATTTACATTTGTTTTCTCTGCTTCATTATAACTTCCCATATATATGTGTGTGTGTGTATATATATGTATACCTATATATACATATGTATATATTGGTATACACACATATATGTATTATTTATTGAAGTTTTATGATCCTGAGATTTCCCTCTGATATTTAAAAAATAAATTTGCCCAGGGGCCTCCTGGTGGTACAAGGAGTTGAATCTCCACTCTATGAAGCTGTTGCCAGCCACTGCAGCATGACTTTGATCCCCAGCCAGGAAGCTGACCCACATAATGCAGCAGACCTGTGTCTCACCCACTGTTCCCCTCAGCACTGTATTTCAGTAGATCCACCTGTTCTGCTCCCCACACTGTCTCTGGTGAATCCTCTCACCCTCTGTACCTCTAAATAAAAATAAATATTTTTAATAAATAAATAAATAAATAAATAAATAAATATGCCCAACTCTTATCTAGCATAAATAATCACAATACTTACCAGTTGAGGTGTCCTCAAATTTTAAAGTTTGTCTTATTTGTTGCTGTGCTTTTCCTTTTGCTCCCAGTTCTACCATTCCAAGAAGCACAGTTGTTCCAAGAGGGGAAAATATAATGTTGTTATTATGAGATAAGCGGATAGCTTGATAAAGTTCCACTGCAAATTCATTATTTCTGTGAGCCCAGGGTCTTGAAGCGTGACTTCCAAAAAAAGTCAGCAGGAGACTCCACAAGACGATCTTATGCATTTTGACCACTGTACATCATTGAATTTAAAATGCATTAGTTTTCAAAATAGTCAGGATTTAACATGTTGATATTAACAGAAAATTTTCTACCTATCAGCACTTTTTATGTTATGAGAACAAACTACAGAACATTCTAATGCCAATATTCTAAGTATCATCTGTTAAGAGAAATATAATATATGTGCTAATAGTATTTTTTATATTTCTTCAAGAGCCAGTTCAAAACCTATTTTTAGTTGCTTAAATAAAATCCAAGGAGAAATTACAATACTGGAATATTTTTAGTAACAATGCTATCAATATTGAAATGATATTTTTTCCCATTTTTTTCTTATGGCTTTAAATGATACTCTTGTAACTCTGATATAAGGGAAACTCTGCCCAGACTACTGAAAATGGTTTATAGATCAAAAGGAAAAAAAATGTAACAAAATATAGCATATACAGTATGCTATATACTGAGTATGACCTATGACATAGAGACATTAGCATATTCTAAATCAATTGAGTAATCTAATTTTTTGCAGATCACTACATGGGATACTACCTCCATAGGACAAAATACCTCAAAATGTACCTTTCCCAAAGTTAGGAAAAGAGAGCTCAGAAAAAAATGGAAAAAAAACAATTAGCTAAGAGGGTCAGAGGGTCAATTAAATGTAGTGGAGGATTACTGGAGCTTAGTGGTATGCAGACGAGGATGATAGGTATGGCTCTATAATGCCTAAAATGTATACACTGCCATAGATCAATTTTCTCTCAATAAACATAATTTTTAAATAGCATTCAAATATAAATGGTCCAATAATAACAAAAGAACAAAGCAATTAAAAAGTCAAAGAATAGCTTGACAAATAAATTAGATAAGAAAACTGCAACTGAAAATTATACCAATTTCACAACAACATTAACAATACATTATTAAATGCTCACCACTAAAACTGCAGGAAATTCAGTGATCTGATAAAACCTTGAGTAAAATGAGCTTTCAATTTTAACAGATACCTGCTAGATACTGACTGATGGGATGGGGGTGGGGAAAGCACGTTGAGTAGTGGAGTCTATATGTGCTCTGGTGGTAGGAGAGCTACTGTGACCACCCTGAGGAGAGAAATCCAATGTGTTTGAATCAACAAGGGTCTAAAACAATGGTACTTCACTAATGAAAATACAAATAAGTAAACACACAAGACATAGCTCTGAATACCACATATGTTTTGGAAACATAAATTCACCTTACAATAATGTATTATAGTAACCCTTAATTCTTACTTTCATAGTTTCATAGATTAATTGCAATTAATCATTTTTGAGTGTTAAGATGAAAACCTTATTTTTAGCCTTAAGGAATGGACAGTCATATTTCCAGAGTGTTGTTTTGTATACCATTAAGAACCATGACCCATCACTAATAAATACTACACTGATTGATTGATTGATTAAGATTGATAGGTATATATATATATATATATATATATATAGAGAGAGAGAGAGAGAGAGAGAGAGAGAGAGAGAGAGAGATTCCTAATAGTCAAATATTCTCTAAAACTAAATTGTGGGGTCATTAGCAATGCATTTCTAATTATTTACCATTATAACTATTTAAACTCTGTTTAGATAAAAAATATACAAAGAAAAAAATCAAAATGCAATCTTAAGCAATTGTTAGACAATAATGTATTGGTAAACTTGATTTAGATATATACTATTAAGCACATGGTTGTTGAGAATGAAATTATTACATAAGGTTTTGAAAGACAGTGATGCTATGATAGTAAAATATGGTTAGTAAGCCAGAGAAGTTTTATATTCAAAATAAAGTTCTGTATAACATTTTCTAAGTTTTTTTATAAAATATCAGTTTATAGATATAGAATCTAATGTTATTAGTGCATTTAAATCATAAAATGGCAATTAGTCAATTAACATATTTATGTATTTGGTTTAAATATGAAAAATATCATGAAGAATTTAATTTTCCATTGTACTAGAATCTGGGAGTTAATATTTCAATATTAGTAGCAATTGTATTGATTAAAATTTACATTATTTGAGTATTCATTTCTCCCAGAAAACTTCTAGGCACTCAATGAACAAAGGGCATGCACAAAACACTAGTTATAAAAACATATTTACCTCATCTGGATTTTAGATGGCATCTCAACAGAAAGTACAAAGTACTGGGGAATTATATACCCTGATATAAAGTCCTATAAGGATTTGACCTTCAAATTTATAGTCACATCTTTTAAAGAAAATTAAAGTAAATGTGTTAATTTGGTAAATGAATATATCTGTACCAAATTGAATTGAAATATCATTACTCTGCTCTATTACACAGTAAATGTTATTACTATCATACATCATTCAAAAGCGACCCAATTTTAAGGTACTTACCCAAGATTGGCTTCTGGTCATTCACTGTAATGTCACAAGTAAAATGTGTCTTCTGGGAAAAACTAGTATATGGAAAAACTGGTCAAGGACAATTCTATTTGTCTTACACATTGTTTGGTCAATTTCTCCAAAACCAAGCAGGTGTTTGGCACATTTCTAAAAAAAGTTGAATATGATCAAGTTAATGATCAATGACAAAATAAGTGAAATGGAGAGAAAAAACAATAATGTAATTTTTTAAATCATTAAATTCATAAGTATTATTTCACCCATTATTTCAACTTCATAGTAAGTAGAAGCAGCTTTGAAGACTGCCAGCAGTGGTAAATTTGCTAGTAATTAGTTCTTTCTTTGCCACAAGACTCCCACTCCAGATTACCAATGTACTTTACCATAAATATTTCAGAATGCCTATGAAAAAGAGAATAAAGCTAATTAAATTCAGAAAATTAAATTTGTCCATAGACAAATTGCTGCCACATTGATGAAGTTTTCAACAATTCATCACATTGTACCATAGCGGAATTTCTTGTGGTTACAGACCCATTTGATTTTTTAGGAATAAAAATGGATACTGGATACATATATTCTTTATGTTGATCAAAAAGTCTAGGTTAAGACTAATGATTTATCAAATTATATCAAGATAATAGAATTAAACATAGATAATTTGACAATAAAAATTGATATACCAATTTAATGTACCTTAAAATTTCTACATAATTTTCTCTATAACTAGGACATTAATAAAAACATATGCATTATCAAATGGATGTTGTTCTCATTCTTCTAGTTCAAATAAATGACTTCAATTGCATTCAAATATTGCACACCTTTTAGTATTCTTCACTATTCCTTTGATATTTGTGAATAAGTTTTATTCCCATCTAAGAAATGAAAATATGGTTGACTTTAATTAAACTTATATTCATTTATTGATCACAATATAATTTCTTATTAATTCACAAGAAAGGAGAAAAGTGAATATAGATATCTTTATAAGGAACTGATGTATAGTTTGTCTGATTCTCGGCTTGGTTGCCTAGATACAATATAGACGTAGAACTGCTCAGTATTAATCTTTCTTCTTCTACATCACTTCACTTAGATTAATCAGTTCCTTTCAGTTTCACCCATGTTACCACAAAAGGCATAAGTTTACCTTTTAAAATTGCTGAGTAGTATCCCATCTTCTTCATCCACTCATCTTTAAGACTTACCCTTGAAAGCAACCGAAAGTTGAGAAACTCGGGAGGAGAGAGAGACAGGAGGGTAAGAAGAAGAACAGAAAACAGAGAGGGAGAAGTGGTGGAGTTTGGTAGACTATGGGCACTGTGGTGAAATCCTATATTGTGAACAAATAAGCAAAGATGTTTAAAATCAATAAACAATAAAATAAAGAACAAGGAATTGACTTAAAAAAATACCTTTTCAGGGCCCTCCCTGGGGGTGCAGCAGGTTAAAGCACAGCACAGAGAAGCTAAAGCCACGTCTGCATGAGTTTGACCCTCGCCTGCCCCGGAGGTGACCACATGGCACAGCAGACCTCTCCTGACCAGCCCACTGCTCCCCTCAGCAGTGTACTTCATCAGTTGGCCTTTTCTGCTCCCCACTCTGTCTCTGGTGAATCCTCTCACCACCCCTGCACCTCTGGCCTGTACCCCAGTTCTGTATGCACAAATAAATAAATAAATCTTAAAAAAACAAAACAAAACAAAACCTTTTCAAGGCCTTGTTAGGTACTTTCTGTATCCTAATAGGCTATAATTTAGTAACATGCTTGAGGGGTCAGGTGATTTCATAGGCCCTAATCTCCTAATTTACTGAAATTATTAATTACCCATGGAGACATCTCTAAATATATACTAATATTTAGCTATATTCTATCATTAGCTCTAACATAAGCAAACTCTATTCCAGCTATAAATTAAGACTGAATTTTTCTGAAACAATGTTATGTAACAAGAACCCTATCATTCTTATTCTATATTACATTTAAAAATAAAAAATCTGAATACCCTAGGTCATCATTCACTCAATGACTTCTACCCATGTAGTGGCGCCAGCAAATATCCGTCATATGTACACTTAGCAAAGTACCAAATTATTATGTCTGTATATGACTCAGATCGCGATGTGATTTTCCCAGGAATTGGCCATTATTTTTCCTTGCAGTGACAGAGATAGACAGTCTGTCTTAGTAAGATTGTTTAATGAAGTTGTTCTGTGAGCACCTTATTTTAGAGCAGTTCAGACAAAATATATATTTCCCTTTCCTTTGGGAAGTAAAAAGCAAAAACAGTGAGTTTTTCTCCCCTGGAGTACATTCTAATAATAGACAAAATAGGCAAAAATTAATAGATTGTAAATGTCCTTAAAATATTACTGCAAATCTTTTGAACATTTTCAAAAATCAGCTCTTTCAACATATCTATTTTACAACTAGAACATCAGGAGGAAAAAAGTATATTCATTAGTGAGAGCCAAACTGTTTTGGTATAAATTTGTGTACCATCTCAACTACCACTATAGAAAGTAAATCTGGAAATTTGTATAAAATTAGTAACATAGCTAGAGGTTTTATCTCATTACTTTTCCTAACATTTTAGTTTTTTAGAGTGAAGTTACATTTAATTCTAAACCTTAAGAGTATATAGGCACATCCCTAATTAGTAAGGAACTTAAAAGTTAATTTGGAACATGGTTTAATTTCAGGCGTTTGTCTTTGTCATCTTGCTCCATATATTTTGAGAGATAAGAGAAAACATTCTGAAAAGAGAACAGGATAAATTTTATTACATATTATATATGTAATATGTACATATTACAAAGAAGTAGCCTACTGAAAATTATGGTATTTCCAATTTAATTTTATTATTTTCATTGTAGGAAAAGTGGACCTGAAATACTTCAGAAATAGATGATATTTTTCAATATTATTAACATTTCATAGGTGAGACCATGTTATTTGCCTGCCACAACTGTGAGATGAAAGAATAAATAAGATATAATGACTAAATATCATTTTACTTTTTTCCTTTCAGACTTTTTTGTGTCAGATTGGTAGAAATAGTAACATAAAATAAACAATTTACAATAGGTAAGCTATGAAAGCAACCCAAATGTCTAAAAATAAATGACTGGATCAAGATATGCTATATTTATACCATGGAATATTACTCAGCAATATAAAAGCACTCAACCCATGCCCTTTGCAACCACCTATATGGAGCTGGAAAGGATTATGCTCAATGAAATAAGCCAAAAAGAAATAGCAAAATATTGAATGATCTCACTGATAGGAGGAATTGAATAAGGGACTGGAAAAAAGGAACTATAATAAAGAAAGATAGATAACACCATCAGAAAAGTATAGGTCAGAGACATTCTATAGCAGAGGAGGATCAGGACAGGAGTGGGAAGAGCACAGGAGACTATGATGATGGTGCACAGGTGAATTGGTGGTGGTAATTTCACAGGGAAACCATACATTGTACAAAAATGAAGGATGACATAAAAATGTATTTTAATAAATAAATAAAAGCTCCATTCTTAATAATATACTTGTGATTATATTTCAAAGTGTCTGAATTTAACTAATGTTCACACACAATATAGTGACATATTAATCATAATTGACACTTCAAATTATGTCACCTCCAGAAGTTTAAAAAACAAAGTAATACAAGTCTAGTAAAATAATTTCCAAATTATAAAAGAAAAAATATAATTGGACTCATTCAATATTTCTTTAATAAACAAGTGTACTTTATTTTTTTCCACTCCAGTAAACAGGAGAAATATATTCTATTCACATGTGCATATCTACTCTCTAAATGGTCCCTTGCATGTGCTCTCTATATTTGAATGGATGGATGCCATAAAAAGTATTTGATACTCATATTCCATCTTTTTATCATATTGAAATTCTTCAAATTTCTGTAGTTGTGGCTAAAATTTCATTCTGCTGTACTGTCACCTGTGATTCATAAATTATGTACTCTGAAATAATGAATTATCCAGTCAATCTCATACCCACTGTAAGAATTCTCTTCAATACCATGTGAGACAGTCACCAGCCTCTGCTTGAACATCTCTAGGAATTTTTTTTCCCCCCAGCAACTTTTTCATTTTTAAAAAATATTTTACTTGCCCTTTCCTGGAGGTCCAACAGTTTACAGTGCAGCATGGGTCACTAGTAAAAAAATAGAACAGGCACAGAGTAAAGCATACTCTAGTATTAGTTAATTTCTTGTGAGACTTATGCACAGGGACTGAATTTCTCTTTCCAAACATAAGAAAGAGGGATATCAGTGGCAACAAATACTATCCAGCCCTACCCCAACTCATCTGTACTAATACTAATCCCTCCAAGCCTCTCACCATCTGCTGACTTAGCAATTACAACACAAATCTAAGTACATACTGAAGCCAGCAAATGTCAAAATAGAAAATAATATAAGTGAAGTAAAATAAAATGAAACTGCAGCATGACCAGTGGGAAAACAGTTTAACATGTTGAGTGATTTTTTTAAATATTAAAAATAATAATAAAGTTGCAACACCATAAGTAACAAAATGGACAGATCAAATGTACAACACATGAAAATAATGGAAATATGGGACCACAAGAGAAAAGGGCATTACATGGTTAGAACTCTCCAGAATCAAACACAAAAAGAATGGAAGATTGTATCTCCCTGGTAGAAAGTTCAGAACTGTTATAATAAAGAAACTCAGAGATAGAGGGACAATCCAGATACAATGTCAAAGTAATGCAAGGGAAATCAGAAGGTCAAGTCAAACGCATACAAGAGGACTGAGGAAAGTTAATCAAGAGATACAATTCAAAAAGCAAATTAATGAGGCCAGAAATAAAATCAGTGAATAAAAAAAGACATTGAAGGGCCCTCTCTGGTGGCGCAGTGGGTTAAAGCACTACACTAAGAGGCTTAAGCCACTTCCTCATGAGTTCGATCCCCACAGACCTCTCCTGACCCACCCGCTGCTACCCGCAGGGTATTTCATCCATCTGCCTTTTCTGCACCCCATTCTGTCTCTGGTGAATCCTCTCACCCTCTGCATCTCTGGCCTGTACCCCAATTCTGTATGAATAAATAAATCTTTTAAAAAAAAGACATTGAAGGATTAAATAAGAAAATAGCATAAATTCAGGGGTCAAAGGGTTCAATAAAGCAGATCAGAAACTCTAGAGAAAGCTACAGACATAAGTATACATGAGATGAAGATAGTAATACACTAAGGACTTAGGTGGAACAGAAAGAGAAACAAGATTGGAAGGAATAAATGAAGGTACAACTGAAAACATCTGTCACCATTAGAAAAGGCAACACTAGAATAATGAGTATCCTAGAAAAGGAAGAGGGTATGACAGAGAACATATATAAAGAATTAACAGAAGTAAACAATAACACTTGGGGTAAAAATTTAAATACGCAAGTCCATAAAGCTAAAAGAATACCTGCTTACCTAAATGAAATGAGACCTACACTAAAGCCTATTGATGTGAATTACAAGTTCAAAACAAAGCAATTATATTGAAAGTAGCTGGGGAAAAAGTCAATAACTTATAAGGATACTCTTATCAGAATTCTGAGCAGAATCTCCACGGTCAAGGAAAGAATGAAACGATAACGATACATTCAACAAAATCAATAAAAATCATTCAGCCAAGAAAACTATATCCTGTAAGAAACTCCTAAATAAAAGGATGAAATAAAGGCATTCCCAGACAAACAATAATCACTCTAAAGATAAATGGAATGATGGCAACAATGAAAGGGACAGATTGATTTAGGGTCCCCGCCCTCCTTATTCTGGGGCTATGGTCTAGGTGCCCAGAGTTCCTGTTTGTCAGCAATGTGGAGAGTCAGAAAAGGGACTTCTCACCAAGGACAAAATTCCTTGTCTGAGGAACATTCTGGAAAATCTGCTGAAAACAGCAGGCAGATAATAGAATAGAGATAATATGTGCTGACTAGCAGGAAAAACGGAGCCCCTCAGGCAATAATAGCTCCTGGTCATTTCACCCTAGCTGACATCTTCAATAACTGTTCCCCAGGCATGTACACTCCCTACGTACTTGCCCCACCTTTATATTTGATTCTAAGAAATAAGAGACTGCCTTTGTATAGGGGCCACATATCACATCCCTATGCAGTCTCTCTAGGATTCTCATTGATTCTCTCATCCCAGGTTACTCCCAGTACTGCTGCCCCCCACACCCCACCCCAAGGCCACACATTGACAGATCAGAAAACAAACCCAGGGTCCTCCTGGTGGTGCAGGGGTTAAGTCTCAACATTATCAAGCTATCACCTGTCACTGAAACATGAGTTTAACCCTGGCCAGGGAGTGACCTACATGGTACAGCATATATCTCTTGCCTCATCTGCTGCTTCCCTCAACAATATATTTCAGGAGATATGTCTGTTTGTTCCCCACTCTGTCCCTGGTGAATCTTCTCACCCGTTGCACCTCCAGCTTATATGTGCATAAATACAAATGCATAAATACGAATAAATCTTTAAAAAAAATGTTTTGCTCTCACCAGGAAACCCCTTTGACTTAAAAAAGACAAAGAAAAATTTAAAGTGAATGGATGGACTACAACCTAAAAAACAAATATTACTCCTAAAAAAACAGTGAATGGTGGGCCTCCCTGGTGGTGCAAGGGGTTAAGTGTCAGCCCTATGAAGCGATCTGCAGCCACTGCAACACTAGTTCAATCCCTGACCAGATAGGTGACCCACATGGTGCAATAGACCTCTCCTGTCTTGCCCACTGCTCCCTCAATCATTTATTTCAGTCAATCTGCCTGTTCTGCTCCTTACTGTGCCTCTGGTGAATCTTCTCACACCTTGTACCTCTGGCCTGTACCCACGTATTTGCATGCATAAATAACTGAATAAATGTACTTTTTAAATGTGAATTTTATATTTATATTTAAATTTCTCTTCCACTTGAAAATTACAAGAGAAAGACAATGATTATATAATGATGAAGGGAATAAAACATAACACTCACCAATATACACATGCCAAAATATCTCAGATAACTACACAGGCAATATACAATAGTATTAGGTGATACCAACATCTTCACATGCTCATTAATGGACTAATCATGCAGGAAGAAAACCAGCAGGGCACAACAATCATTAAAGTGGATCATATCACGTGTTTAGAAGACATTTCTAGAATACTGCAGTCTAAAAATAGATGAGAAAAATAATAAATAGAATGTAAAATGAAAGTGAATTAGCAGTACATATCTTAGAAATATATATGATTATATGAGATTCCTAGGAATCTCTCTATGCAAATAAATTTAAAAACCTAGAAGAAATGGACAACTCTTAAAGGTATATATCCTCCAAGGCTGGAAGAAATCAGAAAGAAGTAGAAAACCTGAACATACCAATTACAAGCAAGAAAACTGAGAGTAGTCAAAATATCCCCCCAAACAAACAATAAAACATACCAGATTTTTCTGCAAAGAATCCTAATAAATCCTCAAAAACAAGTTAATTCCTATTCTTCTCAAACACTTCAAAAAAATTGTGAAAGAAATGATCCCAAAGACATATGAGAATATTACTATAATACTAAAAGCAGACAGATAAATCACACAGAAAATAAAATATAGACCTCTATCACTGATGAACATAAATATAAAAATCTAAACAAAATGTTATTAAACCAAATGGATCCTATTGAGGGCCTCCCTGTAGCACAGAGGTTAAAGTCACAGAAATAGCAAGCTAACCCCAGCCACCAGCCATCACAGCCAGGGAGCTGACACCTGGCACAGCAGACCTCTCCTGTTATGCCACCCCATTCTGCTTTCCTCAGCAATGTATTTTAGTAGATCTGCCTGTTCCGCTCCCCTTTGTGTCTCTGGTAAATCCTCACAGCCCCATTCTTCTAGCCTGCACCTAAGTTCTTGTATGAATAAGTAAGTCAAAATCAAGCTTAACAAAATCAAATTAATACATTATAACTAAGTGGATTATTTCAAAGATGCAACCAAATATTAGTCAGTGTATTCAACACAGGAACAAAAGGAAAAATAAAAAATTATATGATTTAAACAATTGTTAAATGCAGAAAAAGATTTGACAAGACTCAATAAAACCCCTCAAAAATGGCAATAGATGGAATATAAAGGTCATAGATAAAAAACACACAACAAATATATACTGTATTCAATAGCGACATATGGAAAACTTTCCCTCTAAGATCTTGCACAAGACAAAGTCATGTCCTTTTATCATTACTATTCAACAGAGTATTAGAATTTCTACCTAGAAGAATTAGGATGAAAAGGTATAAAAAGAATCCAAATTGAGGAAGAAAAGTAAAACTATCACTATCTTCAGAAGATATGATAATATACATGGAATACCCTAGAAACTCCACTAAAACCCTAATAAAAATAATAAATGTCTACAATAAAGCTAAGGTTACAAAATCAATTCACAAAAATCAGTTGTGATCCATTATGCATACAGTGAGCAGTAAAGGTAATAAGTCAAGAAAACAATCCCATCAAAAAGAATTAAACACTAGAAGTAAACCTCAGAAAAGGAGGTGAAGGGCCTATATGAATAAAAACTCTGAAGCATAATTGAAAAATAAAATAAAAGTTAGAAAAAAATGAAAAGATATTCCCTTTCTCATGGATTAGAAGAATTAATACTGTTAAAATCAAATACTACCTGAGCATTGTACAAATGAAATGCAATCACTATAAAGGACTCAATGGCATTATTTGAAGAAATGAAAAAACAGTGCTGTGAATAGTCAAAGCAATACTGATTTTAAAAGGACAGTCTTATACAAATCAGCAGAAAGAAAAGAAATAACGAAGAAAAATATGGGAGAAGAGCTCAGATACTTCTACAAAGAGACATACAGATGATCAAGAAGCTCATGGAAAAAAATGCGTATTATTACCTACCATCAAAGAAATGCAAATCAAAACCCTAATGAGATACATTTCATTACACACCTTTGAAACTTACATATATATATATATATATATATATATATATATATATATATATAATTTCATTATACACTCCTTATTGAAAACAGTGTGGAACTTTCTCAAAATAATAAATATTGATCTTCTATATGATTCAATAATCCTACACCTATATATCTAAACAAAGAATTCAAAAACACTAATTTGGATGGAATGATGGATACCAATATTGTTACAATTATGACAATAAATTAAGTACACAATGGCATCAGACTATATTAAAAATATGTGTACCTTATACCTAATGGAATAGTACTCAAATATAAAAAATGGTGAAGTCTTACCATTCATAACAACATAGAGGGACTTGGATGATTATACTATGCAAAATAGGCCAGAAGGAGAAAAACTAGTACATGATTTTTTTTTTCATATTGGGAATATACAAAACAAAACAAAGAGTCAGGAAACAGTAACAAACCAAAAGTAAACCCTAGAAAACTCACCATAAAACTAAGTCTACTGGAGGGGAAGCAAGTAGGTGGAGGGGATAGAAAGATGCTGGCACAATGAAAAATGGTGGAGGACTGTCATCCCCTTGGTTGTGGGTGTGATGTGAAGATATGAAGAGGTCCTGTATTTTTTAATCATATGCACTGTTGTATACAAAAATATTTTAAAGAATAATAGAATCATATATAAACCAATAAATGTGATATACCATGTCAATCCCCCCCAAAAAAACACAAATTATCTAAATATATTAAAAAATCAACATATTTTTATGAAAAAAACTCTCAATAAAATGGGTATAAAAAGAAGATACCACAATATAATAAAGGCCATATATTACAAGTCTACAATCCAACGTCATACTCAATGGTGAAAAACCTAAAACTTTTCCTCTATGGCCAGGAATGAGACAATAATGGCCACATCACCATTCATATGTAATATAAGTGTTATAACTCCCAGTGAGTGCAATTAAGCAAGATAAATATATGAATTAAAAATAAATAAGTATATCTGTGATTATTTGTAGATGACTTGATAGCATACACAGAAAATTCCAAAGGCTAAAGAAAAAGTAAATGAACAATAGGGGGAGGTTTGGAAAGTAACTTCTGAGACAGTGTCCTGATTTTCTCCCAGAAGAATAATCCAAAATAGAGTCTCCAGCAGCACTGGACTCAGGAAGCTGTTATTCTGGTGAAACTAGAGCACCTCCATGACATCAGAGACCAAGACCACACTATTTATAAAAGCCAACCTATGGAAACCAATTTCAGTACTCAAAGAAAGATGTGGTATATTACACAGAATGGAATATACTAACAATAAAAAAATATAAATTCTTGCCAATTGCAACAATTGATGATGGCACTATTTACAACAAAGAACTGGGGACAACTTAAGTGCCCCTCAATTGATGAATGGATAAAGATGTGGTGTGTGTGTATGATGGAATACTATTAAATTATTAGTCAAAAAAAAAAGGTAAAATCCTGCCATTTCAAACAATGTGGAAAAATCTAGAAGAAATTATGTTTAGTGAAATAAGCTAGCTGGAGGAAGACACTGTATAATTTTATACATTCATAGTTTATAGAGAAAACAAATAAATAGATGAAGTAAATAAAACAAAAATAAACTTTTGTACTATAAGACAAATTAGTAGTTACCAGAGAGAAAGGGAAGAAGGTAAATAAATAGGGAGGAAGGACTCAGCGGTGTTTATGGAAATGAACAGATTTGAACCTTTACAGGAGAACTTAATGTAATATATACACATGCTGATTATCAGTGGCACACAAGTTATGAAATGTTACAATGTGGTTACCTCAATTGAAAAGTTAAGATAAATTGAGGGGGGGGAAGAAAAATTTATGACTCAAAACTCTTAATAAGTAAATGCATAAAATAAAAATATTTAGTACAATTATATGAATGTAATTCATAGTATATAAAGCAGGACACAGTATATAAGGCAGCCCCCCCAAAAAAGGTTTATAAAGAAACAAGCCCCCCCAAAAAAAGGTATTGATTTTTCAGAGCCATACATTTCCTAACTGATCTAATTAGTCTTTTGGATAGTCCAGTAACTTTACTTTTCTTTGTCAATTAATAGAAAAAACTGTGCCAGAATATTTCACATTCAATTTTAGAATAGGTTTTACAATGAAAATTAACCAAGAATGTTTATTGATAGAAACAATTAAACATAAGTGCAACTGTTTGAAACAATTTGCTCTAGAATTATATTTTTATATAAACACTTGATAATCGATAGACTGATATTCCCCATTTTTCCCCAATCTGTCTTTTACTAAGAAACAAAGTGAAGGATAATGAATTAAAAGCAACATTTAAAAATCATCTAAAAACAAACTTGCTGAAGTTCAAAAAAAAAAGTGAAAAGGACAAAATTATTGACGACATCTCAGCATTTTACATGCATATTTTACATGACAAGGACACATTTCTTTTCTTCTTATTTAAAATTGCTTTTTCTTCTTTTTTTTTATCTTCACTTCCTCACTTGTCTCTTGACATAATTGCTCAGCTCTATGTTCACGATTCAGAATTTCTTTGGGGAACAGGTTTCTCTCATCAAATACAGCTTTCAACGCTACAAAAGGATCAAGAAAATGACATGGAAATTAAACTCAGCAAGAGACCAAACTGAATGAAATAGGAGTAAATCTCAAATTTCACTTTATCTAAACTTTTGTATGTTTTAAAACCAAGAGTCTGTTTAGGGAGCTTTAAGTTTCTGCTATTCCATTTATTTCAACTTAAATTTAAAGGTCAAATTTTAAGTTTTTTCTATTAATGTGTTTATGCCATGACAAAGCTGTCATTTAATAGTAAAAGACTAAGAAAATTTGTTTTTTTATCTTTGCTTTTTAATCTCTTAAGAGCAATAAAGGACTCATAAAAAGCTATAAACAAATTATTCTGTATTGATATGAAACAATTAAAATGATCAAAACATGGCTTGATTGTCTGAATAACTAATCAAGTACATCTGCAGTCACATCCTTTGATCTGCAGCGATATGTGACTTCAGAAAAAGGAAGCCAGGAGTGGCTTTCCCAGAGTGGTTGTATTGTGCATCAATGAGACTAGGAAAAACTGTGCCACATATTCATGAACATAATTTTGTTATTTTTTGTAATTCTTATCATTTCAAAAAAAATATTGACTATGTGTGATGCAAAATGTTTGTGCTCAGGCATAAGCGAGGCAAAAAAAAAAAAAAAATGACTATGTCATGGACTTTCTTCCAAATGGTCAATAATGAAAGCAGTACCCAAATGAAAAAAATATTATATGTAATAGGACACACTTATAAGTAATATGATTATATAAGTTATGATTACACATGTAAAGAGAGGGGAAACTTTAAAAATTAGATACTGTTGAGGTCAATCGTAAAGTCCAGACAGTAATTTAATTAATAATATGGAGCATGGAAGTGAAAATGGATCAAAAAGAGGAAAGGAAAATTCAGCTAAAAGTAGCAGGTGAATGAAAGTATTGAAAAGCAATAGTCACTATTCAGGTAACTGAGTAATTTGGTACAATTTAACAAAAGTGTAAAATACATGGAGCATGAAGTAGAATGAAGTTCAACCTGTACTGAGGAGCATTTGAAATGCCAATTCAAGGACTAGCAAATAATAAAACTATGTGAACATTTAAAATTTCAGAGGGTGAGATGTGGGGGAGAGACAGAATAAAGAGGGAAGAGAGCACAATCAATTTGGGTGGTGACCTATAGATGATACATTGGTGGGTGCGCTAAGGTGGAAATCATTGATGCAGATAATCTGTACTTCCAAAATACACGAAATATTGCAAGCCAATGTTATCGCAATTAAAATAATTACTTTAATAGAAGAAAATTTTTTTTTAATTTGGCATAATAAGTACACAAGTATCTTTAAGCAAAAATAAAAACTGAACAAAACAAACTTTAAAAAGAGCAGCAAACTAATTAATACATAGAAAATGGATGTCATTTACTTGGACAACTTTTGTTACTAAGCATTTACCCTAAATTAAATTTAACATTAAAAAATGATGTGGCCTCTCTAAAGATAACAAAGCAGCAGTGAAAAAACTTGAGGACGAGATGAAGACCCAAGAAGAGGTGCTTAAATGGAACTGTTCAAAGCTCAAGTACAAATGGGTAGAAGATACTATGTACCACAATGTACTAACAATGGGAAATGCGGTGTATATAAATGAGAAAAATAAATAAGAGAAAACTGTTACATATGCACATATAATAACTATACACACACACACACACATATATATATATGTACATAGATCCAACAAACACATAAGAGGGGTCAGTCTTTAAGAAAGTAACCAGAATAGACCACACATTTAAAGGGATCATTTAATAAAACTTACTGCAAATAAGAGCAGACATAACTTGACATATATAGAAAGGACACTGTTTATGAGAAGTAATAGCCTTGGACAAGTCAAAACCAAGGTATATCTTAGTAAAGTAACTAAACTTTAGAGAAAAAATAGAATTTGTTATTCTGTTTTGTAATACTTCCATCAGATATCACCACCATCGTTCAGCCACCACCCACATGCCCATATACCACCACCAGAGACAATTGTGCTTCCTTCCCTCTTTGTTCTTACCACTCTACCTCCTCCTCCCCATTGATGATTCACTGTTTTAGGCAGTTATGCAGGTGAAAATATAGAAATATTTGGCAGTCAGACAAAATAATCAAGTCATTTTAAAGTAGTGAAACATGTTTCGCATTAGATTTTTGTAGCAATGATCAGTTCTAGAAAACATAGAACAATATCAAGATAATCAAGGCAAGAACATATTAGGAGTGGGTATTTAAAGTCTCAAGCTGTTTATACATGCAGGAAATTGTTTCCAAGAGGTCTTCTCAAGGAAATGATTGCGAGTATAACTGAAAAATGACCAAGGAAAATTTAGAAAAAGATTTGGTTGTAGCAATGAATATAATTAAATGTAGAAGTGAGATTAAAACACCATGTTTAAGATGAGAAAATAAAAGTTAGTGCCATATGTTTGACAGTGTTAACATAATGCAATTAACAAAAATTGGTAAATTAAGGGTGATAGAAGCATGGTGAAGATACAAAGGACATAAACCTGACAAGTCAAGTGATAGCAATCTAAGCAAAATTGACAAAATAAAAATAATGACAAGAGGGCCCTCCCTGGTGGCTCAGTGAGTTTAAAACCACTTCAGCATGAGTTCGATCCACACCTGGAAGTGACACAAATGGCATGGCAGACCTCTCCTGACCTACCCACTGCTCCCCTCAGGAGTGTACTTTGTCAGTTGACCTGTTCTCCCCACTCTATCTCTGATGAATCCTCTTACAACCCCTGCAACTCTGACCTGTACCCCAGCTCTGTATGCATAAATAAATAAATCTTTAAAAAATATATAATGACAAGAAAGATCATATTTTGAAGAAGACATGTGGTGAAGAGGAGGAACTGAGGAAACATGCTCACTTTATCATTTCTCATCATGGATCTAATAGTTATTGCCCAGGAAGAATAAATAATTACATGAGCCAATGATTGTAAAGGTACCATTACAACACTATCTTACAGATCCAGGGAAAATTTTTAAAATATATGTAACCAATAAATTGTATAAAAAAATGTAAGGAATACAAAACAGTCTAATATACCAGGAAATTTAAAAGTTCTCTTTCAGTTTTAAGAAAAGGCTTTTTCAGTAAGGTAAATATCAAAACTCAACATATATCTAAAAGTGATACTAAAACTTTGAAATTTAAGTTTTGGAAAAGTGTATCAGGCCAATGAAAACCAAAAAGGAAACTTAAAATCGTAAACATGTACAGAAACCTACAAAACATACACAGAAATTTGTAATAATGGTTGGTAGAAATGATGATTGTGGGAATGGAACAGTTCAGCACCATGAAGAAGGGGAGACCACTTAGCTATATAAATATTTTGCATGTCGTAGTGTTTGAACTGAAAATATATTCCATGTTTAAGACAGACAAAAGTGAATAAACCTGGAACTACCTCATAAACAAAGCTATAAATGAAAACACTTTCCATTTGTCCAATACCTGCAATGGAAGATGATTATGGATTTTTGTAATTGCAGTTGATCCTGCCTTGTATGAATGCAAATTAGCACTTCAGAATCAAAAAGTATCCTGAACATTTTAGAGCTTTCCTAAGATCTACTGTGTAAACTAGGCTGTTAACTTCTGAAATAAACTCTAGCTATTTGATATTTTATTGATATTTCTTGATGAAAGATAGTTTTCATCATTATTGATTTGGTTTCATTATTGATTGGCATTTGCTTCTCAATTAGATGAAAAATTTTCATTATTATTGACTGGGTTTCAGGAATTACACCAATAAAATTAATAGACACATAAAATCTTGAGAGAGAAAATCTTTTTGGGATAATTAATTTTTGAGTTAAAAAAATTAAATGATAAAAGTTCATCTGCTGGGCTAAATACCTATTACTTGGCCCCCAAGCCTATAATTTTGAGAGCTCATTTTTAAGAAAAATAACATAATATTAAAAATGCAAAATTAACAAAAGTAGCCATATATTTAGAAAGAGAAAATGATTCTCAGCAAATTACTGAAGACAAGTTAGTTCTTGTCTTCTGAGATCTCTGTTAGGAAAGGCACCTGAAATGATTACACAGAAATGAGTTATATTTTCAACCTGGATTTCACACTTCACCTGGAATATTCTAAAACTTCCAACAACCCACAAGAGTCTTTGCAGATGAGATCTATAAAACATATCCTTCATTGGCAACCTACCTATAACCTACCTACTTATGTGATAAAAAAGAAATCATAGGAGGCTCTCCCTAGTGGCACAGCAGGTTAAAGCACTGCACTAAGAATCTAAAGCCACTTCCACATGAGTTCGATTCCTGCCTGCCCTGGAGGTGACCACATGGCAGACCTCTCCTCACCAGCCCACTGCTCCCCTCAGCAGTGTACTTCGTCGGTGCCTGTTCTGCTCCCCACTCTTTCTCTGGTGAAGCCTCTCACCACCACTGCACTTCTGGCCTGTACCCCAGTTCTGTATGCACAAATAAATAAATCTTAAAAAAAATGAAATCATTAACAACTTCTAAATGGATAATGGTAATCAGTGCCTCTCATTCAAGTAACAACATCTTGCTAGGTTTAATGACATAATGTATCCATACAATGATGTGAGTCTCTGATGAATTATGGTATGATAAGAAACCACTAACTATTTATCAAATGTATTTAAAGCTATAAAATGAAGTCTTTACCCTTGCTGTGACAATTTGTTTTCCTGCTGTATTAACTTGGGGAAGTTCAAGTCCCCAACCACACAAACACTAATCTAGGTGTTGGGCTGAAGGAACTTGGCAGATGTAACTAATGTCCTAATCATGGACTTTTAGTAAGTGAGATTACCCTGGATTATCTAGGTGAGTAAAATGGAATCAGTGAGCCAGCCTTAAAAGCAGGGCAGAGGTTTCCCTAAGAAAGGGCGAAAATTGCAGGACGGGAGAACAGCTTCTCCCTGTGCCCACCTGTGCCCACTTAGTCTTGCT